CCGAGCCCAAAGCTCACATAGCGCAAAGCCTTTTATTGTGTAGGCCTAGTATGAAGAGTCCGGGCTCATGTTGTCAACAAAGTCGAAATCAAATTGAGGCGCCTATTAAAATATCTGATGTAATTAATAGCTTGATTTAGTTTCTTCTTAGGTTTATTTTAGTATTGGATCCCGATTTTCTTTTGTTTCCGTCGCATCAGCTGTAAGGAAAAATTATGTTCAGAACTGGAACTGGTGTCACAGATATGGGACCCGTTGTATGCACCCCCCTCCCTCTTTCTCTCTCTCTCTCTCTCTCTCTCTCTCTCTCTCTCTCTCTCTCTCTCTCTTTCCGTGTGTTCCCACATTTTCATATACATTCTCTCTATATATCTTTCCTGTCTTTTTATTTCTCTTATCTCCACCACCTTTATCCTTCCACGACTAACTGGGCTTGTATTAGTAGCCTATTACTAGTATTACTCTTTTCCACGGATGAAACAAACAACCACGAAGAAAGATCTGCTGCTAGTTGCAACAAAGTGAGCACTTTTGCTCCTCAGTAATAAATATAATATGATGATTCTTGTATCAGTCTCGCACTTTATTTTACCATACTCGTTAAATATTCCTCAAATCTGTGTTATGCCTTAGTTAATTTTAGTAACAGTTTATAGGCACTTACAACTTAATAAGGTCATATAAGTGCCAAAGATTAGAGGAGTTACATGATAGTAACAATAACATACAAAGGAAAGAAGGAGTACAGATATGGACGGTAGATTTTGTATAGGAAAAAAAGAAGCAAACCACACCACAGAGCACCCGCCAAACATCCGCTTGAGTTAGGCATGTAGGAACAAAACTGCCTTCCATATTAATTGTTTTTTCAATATCAAATAAAACAACAGTTTAAAGCAAAATCAGCGATGTTTTACTCTCGAAAATCGGACCATTATTATGGAAAGTGGGCCAATTTCCAATTGGACAATAGGCATCGGACTCTGGACGTCAAGCTTATGGCGCAATAAAATTCTAAATAAAATATAACCTTCAATGTACTTTGTTGCTACTGTTTATTTATTGATTCTACATAAAACAACAAACAAAATAATACCTCAATGGTTACGATACAACTATTATTAAGGATTTTATTATGTTTTAAATCAAAATTTTAAAGTTTGGTGGCACAAAATACAGTGAAAAAAATCGAGCCAAATCGGGGCGAAATTTTATACACAAAAATGGCCGCTTTTCTGAACTAACAAAGATAGCAAAAAAAATTTCTTACACTAAGAAAACAGAAAGCCAAGCTCTTTCCTTTACCTGTAATTTTAGAGCCCTCTTCCAAACCCGTCATAAACATCTGATGCTAGAACAGCGGCGTTCATCCTTGTTTCATTCCCCCTTCTCTGTAGCTTTTTCAAATCAACGCCCATGTTAATAACAAGAATCATGCATTTCCCTTTCAGTTTGATGTTTATTTTAAGCAAATACCTCTTAAAATGGATGCGAAGTTATTGGAACGTTTATGACGCTGAGAAATACGAAAACAAATTATGGTCTGGGTTCAACAAAGTGGAATAACCTTCCATACGCGGTAAGAGCTAATATTATATCATAACTCACCATTTAGAACCCACAAACTTTTTGGGGGCAGGTTTTGTAGTACAGCATACTGGGAGCTGTACACCCCAAGAGTCTCCCCATTCTCGTCGTATACGGTCCATGTCGTAAACGTATGCTCCGGCCGGCTGCAGTCAGAGCAAAACGCTACGAAGATGATCGCTGCACTAGATGCTGCCACACTGCCACAGTTGAGGTAACACCTGGGGTATTAGTGTTTTGTGTATTAGTCAGAGTTTTACGGCATTTGCAACACAAATAGTTCATATAAGTGCCAAAGATGAGAGGTGTTACTAATACAGTATAACACGATGCAGAGATAAGGACAACAGATGATTGACAGGCACAAAGGAGCAAAACAACCTTGACTGCCCGTCATCTTCCAACAACCTCTGGGGCAAAGAGGCAGAGAAGAGAGCTCTTACACAAGGTCTCTCTCTAGAGCTCTTTGTTGGTCTCTGTTGTCCTTTTTTCGCCCCCCCCCCCTCCCCCAATTTCCAATTCTGTTTTTTTTTTACTCTTTCTGTCTGTCTGTCTGTCTGTCTGTCTGTCTGTCTGTCTGTCTGTCTGTCTGTCTGTCTGTCTGTCTGTCTGCCTCTTTCTCTCTCTGTCTCTCTCTCTCTGTCTGTCTGTCTGTCTCTCTCTCTCTCTCTCTCTCTCTCTCTCTCTCTCTCTGTCTCTCTCTCTCTCTTTCTCTCTCTCTCTCTCTCTCTCTTCATCCTTATATCTCTTTTCTATCTCCCGCTCGCTTTATTTGTTGGATGCTGTTGTTTCATTGTTATTTTGTTGCTGCTACTGTTTTTGAGCTAATTTGTGCTTTGTGTGTTTGGTGCTGTTATTATTAGTGTTTTATATGAGCGAAGGAATGAAGAACAAAGGGAGTAAGTAAAAAAAAAACCCGCATAACTCACCGAAGAATTATTTTTGGAATTTGAGGTAAATTGATCACATTGATTCGCATGACGACTTCAGAAGTTGGGCTGATTATCTTCAATTTCAATGTGAAGGTCTGGTTGACCTGCCTCAGCATAGATCCTGGCAACACCAGTTTTCCCGCTTTTCCGAAAGGTGGATCATACCGAGTTGAAGGCATGAGGAGGTGTGGGGGTAGGACGTAGTGGGAGAGAGAGAGAGAGAGAGAGAGAGAGAGAGAGAGAGAGAGAGAGAGAGAGAGAGAGAGAGAGAGAGAGAGGGAGAGAGAGAGGGGGGGGGGAGAAAGATTTCAAAGTAGCTTATTTGTTTTAAAGGTCTTTTTTATTTTATAACATATGACTCGGCAAATACATAAATTACGGCAGCACGTCACATTATTATTAACTAGAAGTAAACTAAAGACTGTGCTGCTAGAGGAAAAAATAATAATAATATCAGACACCAACTCACACACGCAGACAAACAGTCAGACAAACAGATAGACAGACACACACATATGTATTATACATATATATATATATATATATATATATATATATATATATATATATATATATATATATTAGAACATATATATATACAGTTTATATATAGCATATATATAAACAAATATATATGTACATATATATGTCATATAATGTATGTACAAGCATACACACTAAGGCCGGTCCCAGAGTGGCTCTGTAGGTCTGACCTGTAGCTCGCCTGGCTCGCACCGTGCAAATGAATGTATACATTATCGTGTGCTAAAGCAGCGAAGCTGTATCGTCTGATTTTTTGTCAGCAGAGCTGCGCGATGCGTCAGACGTGCTCTTCAACAGTGTTGTAAAAATGGCGGACATGTGTCGCCTCGCTTCGTGTTTATTTTCGAAGGCAGGGAGGTGACCGCGTATGCCGAGTGCGTGCAGGTCTCGAAGAATGCCGTACTTCCAGGTTGTGTCGAAGGCTTTTTCTAGGTCAAAAAAGATGGCAATCATGTGGCCTCTTTCAGCGAACGTCTCGCGTATAAAGGTCTCCAGGCGGACCAGGTGATCCAGAGTGGATCGAGTTTTCCTGAATCCGCACTGGAGACCGCTCAGCGAGCCCGTCGTTTCCAGAAACCACATGATTCGCCTGTGAATCATTTTTTCAATTAGTTTGCAGAGACAGCTCGTTAGTGCTATTGGTCTGTAATTGGATGGGTGTGTGTGGTCCTTGTTTGGTTTGGGTATTGGAATGACAGTGGCGAGACGCCAAGACTCCGGAAAGGAGTGCGACCGCCACATGTCGTTGTATATGTATAGTAGGAGTGTGAGTGTTTCTGGGGGTAAGTGTCTAATGATTTGGTTGTGGATGTCATCCGGTCCTGGGGCTGTATCGCCCAGGTCCGAGATGCACGATGTTAGTTCGTCTATTGTGAAGTCTGCGTTGTAGGTTTCAGTGTTGTTTGAGTGGAAGTTTAGGTGTTGTTTTTCTCTGTTAGTTTTGAAGTTTTGAAAAGTGGTGTTGTAGTTTGCTTGGGATGAGTTTTTGGCTAGAGATGTAGCTATTGTGTTTGCAATGTCTACTTGTGTTGTTCCATCCGGCCTCTGGACGTATCGAATGGTGTCTGTGCGTCTACCTAAGAATTTTTTAACAATTTTGAAAACTTGGTTGAGTGGTGTCTGGCTGTTGATTTTGGAGATGTATTTTTGGAATGATTGTCTTTTGCTCTCCCTGAGGCATCTTGTCTTTTGCTCTCCCTGAGGCATCTACGTGCCACAGCTCGAGCCTTTAAATATTTGATCTTGTTTTCTATGGTGCCTTCTTTTTCTTTACCAGATCTTGTTCCTCCGGGGTTTTGTTTTTGTTTTTGGAATGTGATTGTGGCATATTTCTAAGAGCTTTTCGTGGAATTTATTGTAGTTGTGGTCGAAATTGGGATTAAGAATCTGGGAACATTGATTGGCAAACCCGTCCCAGTCGGCTTTTTTAAAGTTGAAGCGTTCTGGGATCTGGTCGTTTTGGAGGCTATTGTTTTTGAGGAGAATTGGGAAATGGTCCGTACGGTCATCCAGCACAGACCACTCAAGATCTGGGACTAGTTCAGGGGTACAAAAAGTGAGGTCAAGGGATGAAGTGCCATAAGTGGCTCTGTTTCTGTAAGTTGGGGATTTATCATTTAAGAGACGGATGTTATTTTGAAATAAAAAGTTTTCTATTATTTTACCTTTCTGGTCTATAGGTTTGTCTCCCCAAAGGGGGCTGTGGGCATTGAAATCACCTAGTAAAATAAAGGGTTTTGGGAGCTGAGACTTTAAGTCATTTAGTTGGGTTATTTTGAGGGGATAATTTGGTGGGATGTAAACTGAGAAGATCGTGATTGGTCTGTGCAGGGTGACCCGTACGGCAATTGCCTGGAGGGTCGTCTTAAGATGTATTTGTCTGTGGAGTGTGTGGTTGTCGGTGTAGATGGTGGTACCACCGGAAGCAATCTGGTTCTCCGTGTGAATGTGATGGTACGCAGTAAATCCTCCTAAATCCAAGGTTGAAGCCGGGGCGAATTTTGTTTCTTGAATACAGGCCACCCGTGGGCACAGTGTGGCCTGTAAATGTTGCAATTCTGCAATGGAAGGTCGGATTCCGCCGGCATTCCATTGCAGGACCGCCATTATGAATTTTTACTTTTTGATTTGGAGCACTTAGGCCCCGGCTTCGAAGAAGCACTCTGACTCCTCCTTACGGGGGAGGCAGAGTGTTTTCTAGGTTGCCGTCCTGGATTGGACGGCGGTCTAGTGGGGGATTTGGAGGAGTGACAGACTCCGCCCTTCCCGGGGTCAGGCCGGGGAGGGGGGTCGGAGATGTCTTCCTCCATAGGCAGGGGTTTGTCTGCTGGAGGGGTAGGGGGAGGTGGGGCAGACGGAGAGGGCTGGGAAGGGGGGGAGAGGGTTCACCCCACACTCCATCAGAGGGATGGGCTGTGGGGTGGAAGAAGAAGAAACAGAAGAAGAAGAAGAAGAAAAAGTGATAGAAGAGGGGTGAGGGGTAGAAGAGGGGGTGGAGGAAGAGTCCTCCCCATCCTCCCCTAGAGCCCCATAGCGGTTAGAAAGAGGCATCTCAAAAGTGGGTACCACAGGGGTAGAAAGGACCTTCTTTGACTTTATCGAGATTCGCTTGTCGATTGCCGGCTGTGGGAAGTCGGCAGTGGAGGTACTGATCGACTTCATGACAGGCCGGAGTACTTTCGCATATGTCCGGCCAGGGACCGGGGTCACGACTGGCGGACAGACAGCCTTACGGGCCTCCTTGAAGGAACAGCCATTTCGCGCCTTGTGTTCTTGTATTGCGCGTTCTTGGAGCCAATTCGGGCACTCCTTGCTGAAAGCTGTGTGCTGGCCGTGGCAATTGGGGAAACAAGGACTAGCCTTGCATTCCTTCTCAGGATGCCCGGTCTTGCCAAAGCGAGGACACACGGCTGCGTGACGGCATCGTGACTGGCTATGGCCGAACTTCTGACACTTGAAACAGCGCAGAGGGTTCGGCACATAGGGTCGTACTTCGAGTACCAAGTAAGATGCCCGAACGGTGGCTGGAGGGCGACACGAATCGAAAGTTAGAATGATCGTGTTCGTTTCGAGTGTGGTCTCCCCCCTCCGAAGAGTAATCCGGCGGGCTTCGACCACACCTTCGCAATTTGCCACACTTTCCTCGTTGGAGCAGCCCTTCAGCTCATGGCTGCGGACCACGCCCTTCGATCGGTTGAACTTCTGGTGTCGCTCGGATACACAAGGAACACCGCCCAAGGTCGTGATTTTTTTTCCATTTTGGCCAGTTCTTTTTCCGATGCGCATTTGACGAGGAGAGCACCAGAGGACAGTTTCTGAACATTCGTTGGAATGTACCCCAGAACTTGTCTTAGTGCTTCTCCTGTCTTAAACAGGTTAAGATCTGTAATTTTCTTCTGCGCATTGGTGCTGCAGATTGTCAAGTACGGTTGCCTCAGAAGCTCCCCGGGAGAAGGGAGAAAGGAGGCGTCCGTAAAGGTCCTTTTACCTGTGGTGGTTGATAGTTTGCTCGGCTCGGCAGCTGCACCCGCTTCCGCGAGCCGAGACTTTTTATTAACGTTGGGAGCTGGGGAAGGGTCTTTTTTAGATTTGGATTCCATATGAAATTTTTGGTTGATTCTACTCCGGGGCTCCCCGCCCGCCACGGAGCCCAACAAGGGGACACATTGCTCGGATGACCAGAGCTGTGCTAGGGCTACCCCGGAGCTATACTCTCAACGAGAAAATACAAGACCCTCCCGTCAAGATTGACCCAGGGCTTGATGGGGTTTCAGCTCTCAACCGATTGAGTGGCATGGGCCGTGCCACCCTCCAGTCTAAGAGGAAAACCTGGGCCAAAGAGGTGTGTTGACGAGGGACAGTCCATGGACTGATCTCACCTCAACCGCCAGGTACCCGGTTTCCCTCCGCACGGGTCGCACCTCACGGTCAACGAGGCGCCCACTCTGTGGGATGGGTGACCCCTCTTTTTACTGCACCTGAGGTCAGCGGTGGAAGAAAAGATAGAAGAAGAAAGAAAGGAGGAAGGAGAAGAGGAAGATACACCAAAGTGGGTGTCGCACACGAATCCCAGAGGGTTGGGGTCCGTGTGCGACACTCCGTCTTTGATGGGGTTGCACCTTCTGCAGACGAAGCAGTGGGTCTATTTATATCCCCCCGACCCACTGGGGGTATTACTGCACTTGAGGTCAGAGGTGGGAGAAAAGATAGAAGAAGAAAGAAAGGAGGAAGGAGAAGAGGAAGATACACCAAAGTGGGTGTCGCACACGAATCCCAGAGGGTTGGGGTCCGAGTGCGACATTATATTTGAACGGCCCCTAAAAAAGACATTTGTCAATTCCTTTTAGGTCATGTAAGCAGAAAATGAATACAGTTCGCGTGTACTAAATTTCTCTGGGCTATGTTGAGTAGTAAATGAGTTATTTTACTTTTAAGGATGGTGTGACAGAACTTTTGCAATTCGGTATATTTCCACCCGTTACTATTTTTATTTTCTCCGTTATTATTATAATTTTCAATAGTAGTAGTAGTAGTAGTAGTAGTAGTAGTAGTAGTAGTAGTAGTAGTAGTAATAGTAGTTGTAGCAGCAGCTGCAGCAGTAACAGTAATAGTAGTAGTGCTTCTAGTAGTACTACTACTTTTATCACTTTTTAAAAATCTCATATCACATTCAATTTACAGCCTTGTGATTGAAATGGTCATAATGGAACAATACTTTACGGTATCGGGATCACGGGATTATATGGAAATCAAATACATTATGGTCTCTTACTTTTGGAAAATTGTTGAAGTTCCGTCGATAAGTACCCTTGGCTAGGAAATGATATACTCATGAAGATATGGAAACTGTGGAGAGAACATGACTTTAAAAGCACAGACCTTGAGCTATCAAAAATCGATCAGAGAATGATACAATTTTAGACAGTGTGTTGTTCAAGTTGTTGTGTTTATTGTTCAAGTAAAAGAAGCACGTGGGTACAGCAACAGTCATTAAATAATAAATATTTATACAAAACTTTACTTTTTTTTAACGTTTTAAGATCAAATGACCCGAGCCCAGCCTTGCAGTGGACTGCAAATGAAAAACTAACTTATGTTTCGCGCGCTCATATAACCTTATGCAGTTGTGAGCGCCGTAAAACCCCATACTAAATGAAAAAAATTCAAACAAAACTTCTTTGAAGGTAGAAGTAAAAGTGAACACTTCTCATATAAGAATTTGTCTCCATTTTTGAAGCAATCAAATTGCCGTGTTTATTTTGCAGGTCAGTATATTATTATAATTAAAGTGGGGTTCAGACAGTTTTAGGGTGCGTGCCCACTGGAACAGACACCAACCGACCAGATTCCGTCCGTCTTTCGGAAAGCCGGAAGATGAAATCGAGCAACCTTTTTTTTTCCTAAGAGATCAGTGAAAATTCCGTTTGGCTGTGTCAACAGACACGACACACCCGACAAAAGGCGTGGCGGTTGGAAAGCCGCTTGCTGCATTTTAGCCTAGCCGGATGGTGATTCATCAGCCATAGGCACTGCCGGAGCTAAAATTAAATTCTAATTTTGAGTTCTGATTAAAAATCTAAAGTCATTTTCGTAATCAGAGCCTCAAAATTAGCTAAATCTACGCGCAAACTGCGTTTTATTGCTTATCAAAAATTTTACTAATTTTCCTTTAAAACCCTTACATTTCTTTTTCCCGCGTTGGGTTCATGTGATCTCTTGACTATTTATAACCCCGTGCCAAGAATACAGCCTGTCACGACAGCGGTATAGCTTGCACTTTCTGAGAATAAGTAGGCCAACAGACTAGACGTGTCTTTTCCGAACTGTGTGGAAAACAAGACGGAAACGACCAGCCGTTTTTTCCCTCCCGGAAAAATCGGGCCGTGTCTATCTCAGTGGACATGTAGCCTTAGGGTCTTGAACAAAAGGCACGATGTTTTCTGTTCTTCCTGTTTGTCTGTTTTATTTCTGGTATTATTTCAATCTAAAACAATTTTTATTTTAAAAATTTAATAATTCAATTTCGTTCTACACTACAATTTTCCATAAAGGCCAATGGCCTTAATAAAATCCAAGATTCTGTTGGGACCAACGACGGATAAAATATCTTGCAATATTTTGCAGTTGAAGTATTTCCTTCGGACCTCTCCGAAGTCTAGACATTCGGTAAAAATGTGTCTAATTGTAAAATATGCAATATCAAAATCAATGATACCACCCTCAAGCAAGTACAACATTTTAAATATTTGGGGACCATTATATCATCAGACGGTAGATGTTACATCGAAATTTAAAGCCGCATTTGCCAATCAATAAACAGCTGGAAAGAACAATTGTAGCGACAGAATTGTGGTTCATAAGATGCATGCTACGTGGAGAGCTAGAAAAACAAATGAAGAAGTCTTGGTTGAAGCAAATTATAGGAGATAACTTATCACGAATATAAGAAAGCGACAGGCAGATTTCTTCGGACACACAATGCGGAAAGAAGCATTAGAGAATATTGTAACAACAGGCAAGTTTGAATGGTAAAATCTGTGTCGCGCCACAGAACGGCTTCTCATCTCCCTGTAGGAGGTATTTGTGGGTCAGGACCGTGTGTCCGATGCACAATCGAGTAAAAATGACTTCGTCTCTTCTGGAGAGGTCCGAGGGATTTGTATGTATGTATAGTATAAGGTTTTACGGCGCTCGCAACTGCTAAGGTCATATGAGCGCGCGAAACACAAGTTGTTCACTTTTGCAAAAGTTCACTTCACGACTGGTTAACTAATTTACTTTAAAATGCTAAAAAGTTAAAATATTTAAATTCGGTGTAAATACATTTGTGATTTAAAACAACTCTTTTCAGTAACAATAAAAATTTTAAATAATATCAAATTCACTCTACAACTCGCCATAAAGGCAAATGGCCTTCATAAAATTTAAAATTCTGCTGGGAACAACGACGGAAAAAATATCCTGCAATTTCTTGCATTTGTAATATTTCCTTCAGATCTCTCCAAAGTCCAGACATTCTGTTAAAATGTGTCTAATGGTAAAATCTGTGTCGCATCCGACACAGAACGGCTTCTCATCTCCCTGTAGGAGGTATTTGTGGGTCAGGGCCGTGTGTCCGATGCGCAATCGAGTAAAAATGACTTTGTCTCTCCTGGAGAGGTCCGACGGATTTCGCTGTTCTAGTTTGGGTTTTATTTCATATAGTTTATTATTTTTCTGGTTTTCCCAGTGGCTCTCCTACAGACTGGAGGTGTACCTTTTGACTCTATTTCTAAAGTCAGTCTGTGGGAGAGTGTTTGTCGTTGATCCAAGCAGAAGGGATGAAGCTTTCTTCGCCAGGTCGTCTACCTGCTCGTTTCCTCTTAAGTCTATGGTTGAAGCCGGGGCGAATTTTGTTTCTTGAATACAGGCCACCCGTGGGCACAGTGTGGCCTGTAAATGTTGCAATTCTGCAATGGAAGGTCGGATTCCGCCGGCATTCCATTGCAGGACCGCCATTATGAATTTTTACTTTTTAATTTGGAGCTCAAAGGCCCCGGCTTCGAAGAAACACTCTGATTCCTCCTTGCGGGGGAGGCAGAGTGTTTTCTAGGTTGCCGTCCTGGATTGGACGGCGGTCTAGTGGGGGATTTGGAGGAGTGACAGACTCCGCCCTTCCCGGGGTCAGGCCGGGGAGGGGGGTCGGAGATGTCTTCCTCCATAGGCAGGGGTTTGTCTGCTGGAGGGGTAGGGGGAGGTGGGGCAGACGGAGAGGGCTGGGAAGGGGGGGGAGAATTCACCCCACACTCCATCAGAGGAATGGTCTGTGGGGTGGAAGAAGAAGAAACAGAAGAAGAAGAAGAAGAAGAAAAAGTGATAGAAGAGGGGTGAGGGGTAGAAGAGGGAGTGGAGGAAGAGTCCTCCCCATCCTCCCCTAGAGCCCCATAGCGGTTAGAAAGAGGCACCTCAAAGGTGGGTACCACAGGGGTAGAAAGGACCTTCTTTGACTTTATCGAGATTCGCTTGTCGATTGCTCGGATACACAAGGAACACCGCCCAAGGTCGTGATTTTTTCCACTTTGGCCAGTTCTTTTTCCGATGAGCATTTGACGAGGAGAGCACCAGAGGACAGTTTCTGAAAATTCGTTGGAATGTACCCCAGAACTTGTCTTAGTGCTTCTCCTGTCTTAAACAGGTTAAGATCTGTAATTTTCTTCTGCACATCGGTGCTGCAGATGGTCAAGTACGGTTGCCTCAGAAGCTCCCCGGGAGAAGGGAGAAAGGAGGCGTCGGTAAGGTCCTTTTACCTGTGGTGGTTGATAGTTTGCTCGGTCCGGCGGCCGCACCCGCTTCCACGAAACGAGACTTCTTTACGTTGGGAGCTGGGGAAAGGTCTTTTGTTTGTTTGGAATCCATATGATGTGTGATGTTGGTTCGACTCCGGGGCTCCCCACCCGCCACGGAGCCCAACAAGGGGACACATAGCTCGGATGACCAGAGCTGTGCTAGGGCTACCCCGGAGCTATACTCTCAACGAGAAAGTACAAGACCCTCCCGTCAAGATTGACCCAGGGCTTGCTTGATGGGGTTTCAGCTCTCAACCGATTGAGTGGCATGGGCCGTGCCACCCTCCAGTCTAAGAGGAAAACCTGGGCCAAAGAGGTGTGTTGGCGAGGGACAGTCCATGGACTGATCTCACCTCAACCGCCAAGTACCCGGTTTCCCTCCGCACGGGTCGCACCTCACGGTCAACGAGGCGCCCACTCTGTGGGATGGGTGACCTCTCTTTTTGCTGCACATGAGATCAGCGGTGGTAGGAAAGATAGAAGAAGAAAGAAAGAAGGAAGGAGAAGAGGACGCTACACCAAAGTAGGTGTCGCATCCGGATCTCAGAGAACTGGGGTCCGTGTGCGACACCTCGCCTTTGAAGGGGTTTCACCTTCTGCAGACGAAGCAGTGGGTCTATTTATATCCCCCCGACCCACTGGGGGTATTAAAGCACTGAAGAAGGGGAAATCAACAGGAGTTGACAACATCCCAGGAGAATTAATACAGGCAGGGGAAAGGGCATGATAAGCGCTCTGACTGTCATCTGCAACAAGATCTGGCAGACAGGAAAGTGGCCAACACCATGGACACAATCACTAGTGATTACACTCCCCAAGAAAGGTAACCTGCAACTATGTCAGAACTACCGCACCATCAGTCTAATAAGCCACCCCAGTACGGTTATGTTGAAGACAATGCTGAACAGATTGAAACCACTCGCAGGGAAGATCATTGCCGAAGAGCAGGCAGTCTTTAGAGCAGGGTGCAGCACAACAGAACAGATGTTCAACCTCAGGATACTGTGCGAGAGGTACCTCCAACACCAACAAAATCTATACCATATCTTCGTGGATTTTTAAAAGGATTCCGATTCCCCGTCTCGGTCTCTCCATGGAAAGGAAGGTATACATCCCTTCTCCCTCAAACCCCCAGCAGGCTCCCGCCCAATCAAGGGTCTTTGTGCTCTAAAAAGGAGAAAACTAAAGAGACACGGGTTGCTTTTCACGGTCGACAAGGCGGCCACTCTGTGGGATGGACCACTTCTAGTTTTACAACACATAAGATCAGTGGTGGAAGAAAAGATAAATGGAAGTGAGAAGGAAGGAGAAAGGGAAGATACACCAAAGAAGATCCCAGAGGGTTGAGTTCTATGGGAGACATCTCATCATTGAAAGGATTGTATGTCATGTAGAAGGGATAGTGAGTCTCATTATCATAACCCCAACCCACCACGGGAGAGGGTGGAGACTTCGTGACCGGTCAGAAAGTCTTCGCATACGACCAGCAAAAGATCGGGCTCATAACTGACGGGCACTGTTTCTCGCAGCAATTTTGTTTGTACTATTTGATGGCCCGTTTTGTACCATTGGATAGGTTTCTGACGATTTGGTTGTGTATATCATGCCGCCTTTGTTCGTAAAATGTCCTTGAATATAAAATGGTGGCATGACTAGGATCCTGGGTCGGTACAATAAACCGTCTCATAGATTGTCATTTCATAAAAATTATAATCATGTGACAATGCCTGCATAAAGTTTTAGAGAGCGACGCTTTCGAATTCAGTGATATGCGAAATGGTTGTTTTCAGAAGCTACCATGTAAAACCAATAAAGAGTTGATATTTCGAGTATGGTGGCTTGATGTCACGGAACAACACATAACCAATGTGCCTGTATCTGGACAACAACGATTTATCTTATCTTATCTTATCTTATCTTATCTTATCTTATCTTATCGTATCTTATCTTGTCAAGTTGTAACAAGTTATTTATTTTGTCTAGTGCCCGCTCTGTGTACTCACGTCAGCTGGTTTGGAAGGCGGGAGCATGATTCGGGTGTAAAATCGGTATTCTCACTTTCTGAATAATCCAGCTGAATGTCAGCTCCGGTTGGCCACTGGAGCGTATCGACGATTGGAAATCCGCTCATGCGAATTACTTGGGCCGAATTCGTGAGTGCTCTGAACTTCACAATTGTCTGCAAGAGGTTACAGAGAGTATTAATGTACTGACATTGTGTAAGGCTTGATAATCCCAACCCCCAACCCCCTTTTTTCTGTCTCCACTCACGCACACACGTATAAATACACATACACACAAACGCACATACACACACAACACAAACATACACACACACACACATATACACACACAACACGCTTACACACACACAGATACACACACTCACTCACACACCAAACACACACATACACATATTTACAATCATAAACACACACACTCACACACACACACACACACACACACACATACACACACACACACACACACACATACACACACACACACACATACATAATTTTAAGGCACTTAATACACGTAATCGTCGTATCTGGCCCCATTCGTTGAGTAACTTAATGTAAAGATTTAGAATACATATACGTAAGGCATTCGGCAGGTTTCGTAAGTTATGTTCTGTTTTATGGGTCCAGACGATTTATTGTTGACGAACAGTTAATGTTTTACGCCCTTATCGACACTATTTTGTCATCAAGGAGGCGTGTTCCTTCAACCTTGCCTGTCGGGACAACCGAAAATTGAACTAACGTCTTCTGTGCACAGCGTCAAAGAGCCCAACCGTTAAACCATAGACTCCGGCTTGATGCTGATTGCGATGAAAATTACATGTATATTGAGACGTTGTCTTATTAGAGATTATAGAAAGATAGAAAGGTGGTTTTGTTATGTTGTAAATGTGTTTGAGTAAATATTATTATGATAAAGACTACATTACAGCTGGAGGAACATATAAAAAAAAGGTTTGTAGCTTGTTCACATTCGTCTGACCGCGATCTAAAGAAGATAACAAATTGCTCTGCATAATCTTCTCAAGTCCTTGCATACGATTCCAAAAAGTTGGATGACTAACAGAATCAAAAAGTCCACCGACGAAGGTCCATGCAAACTACCGGATACATGTAAGATTCCGACATGTTTTCTTATACGTCTAACGAGGGAAAAAAACACAACAATATTAAGGATTTACAGAATACACCTAAAACATCATGAAGTTGACCTAATTTGATCAACACCACACTGTATTTATGCAGACCAATGAAACACGGTTCAAAAGATGGATGAGTGATTTTCGAAACTCACGTGGAGATGCCAAGACAGTCCTGGGATGAAATATAGGCCTACATGCTTACATTGAAATGCGGGGCGCAGGATGATGTCGCTGTCTCAAAGTGTGCAAATTGTAGGCTAGGTTACTGTAAATCATTTATTGCAGTGATCCTGTGTATGCACCCATAGCCATACGGCCCGAAGAGAGAAATTTTTTTGTTACTGGATCAAGGTTTTAAAAAAGAAAATGTTTATTTGGTCCCTGGCCCACAGGAACACCTTGCAAATTTTCATCCTCATTTGTAAATTGGTAAATGAGACAGATTTCTAAACAGGTAAACGACAGTGAACAAGCTATAAAGTGTTGACCTCACCTTTTATATCTCTAACCACCCTCTCATATCTGTTCATCCACTCACCTCTTTCATCACCTTATACCTCCGACCACTAGCTCACCTCCGAGGGCGCCCCCTTAGATCAGTTGGTATCATGCCAGACTTCGGGGCAGATGGCGCTAGTTCGAATCCCAGACTAACCGTTCTTGAACTCGGTTTGTTTTCTGGAGGTTCCAAGGCTCTTATCCTGTTTGACTCGGTGCTATCGGAGACAGGGCTTAAATTCGGAGGTCCCACCTCTTAAATAACTTAATTTTGTTGATAAGGGCTTAAACCTCCAACTCTCCTCTCACCTCCATCCTTCCATTTATCTGGTACCTCCCATTTTCTACCAAATTCTACCTTCCTCCTCCCGCTCACCTATGACCTCCCACCTGCTCTCACCGACCACCCACTCATCATTGCCCTCATTTTTACTACCTCTGACCAGCCGTTCACCTCCAAACACATGCTCACCTCTAAGAGCAGCAGAGCTAAATCAAACGGCCCGTTTACCACCCCCTCCCCCAAACTATCAAACTATCATCCCAGCCCCACAATCCTCTCACCCCACGACTATACACTCACCCCCGATCATCCTCTTACCTCCCCCCCCCCCCCCCCCCCCCCGACTATACGCACCATCCTCTCAGTCCCGACTTTCCGCTCATCCTGAACTCTCCGTTCATACCTGACTATTCGCTCACTGATGACTATCTGCCCCCCCCCCCCCCTATGGACCATCCTCTCACCCCTGACTACCCACTCAGCATCAGAGATACCTCTACCTAACCACGGGCTCACCCGTGAAAAATAAGAGTAAAGTTGATATTTGGCGAACGTCCACTGTACAGTTATCATCATATTTGAGGGTGGCATAGCGTTGGCAGGCAGCAGCACGGTTTTCTGGTTCAAGTACACGTTCGCTGGAATAAAGGTCCTCTGGCCCATGTACATGGACATCACGAACTGGGGAACAAGAGGCATTTTAGGTCGGAGGTCAACTCTTTGTTAGAGGCAGTAAAAAAAAATTAATGTTAGTTGTTTTAGCAGCAGTGGAAACAGTGGCACCGATTAAGGCAGCTGTAATTGTAACTGCCAAATAGCCTTCATTCCTTCCCGATCTTTGTTGATTTTACTAGTCCCGAACAAGAGTTCTTTGTAGCGGTAGCACAGACAATAGAAAAGAAAATTCAATGAAGCAAACAAAAATTTAGTTTTAGTTGGGCTTGCGCTTTACGGCTCTTACATCACAATACGGCCACATAGGTGCCAAAGATTAAGGCTGTTACAAGAGAGTAACAAAAACAAAAAGGAGGAGAGAAAAGGACGATACGTGTTTGATAGAAAATAAGGAGCAAACCACACAATCTCCCCCCCCTTCCCCCCCCCCCAAAAAAAAAACACCACTCAAAAATACAATTATAATGGCATTTTTCTTTTTGTCGAAAAAGCAGTACAGGTATGAATAAAGCTCTCAGATTTCAAGAGAAGCAGCCAAAAGCAAGGCGTGTCATGTGACTTCACAACGCATCGAACATTTGACTACACTATAAATGTTTAAATATAATTATAATGAAAACGTCAAGGGTGGGGCACGTACAGTAAGAGAAATTGAAACGAAAGAATAGAATCTCTAATACAGCATCTAAATTATGCACCATCAGAGCTGTCCGTTGTGTGTGTGTGTGTGTGTGTGTGTGTGTGTGTGTGTGTGTGTGTGCGTGTGCGTGTGTGTGTGTGTGTGTGTGTGTGTGTGTGTGTGTGCGTGCGCGCGCGCGCGCGTGTGTGTGTGTGTGTGTATTGCGTAGATTTTGCAAAGATGTCTATTTCAAAGATTAAAGCTCTAGTCCACAAAATGATTTTTATTATTAGGTGAACTAGGCTAGGGAAGAAGATGACATTTAGAATAACTGCAAAGCTAGTACACAAACAAAGGCAATGTTGGCTTAATAAATACATGTACAACTTGTTTTACAAGATTACCAGCGGCTTTCTTTTTTGATGGAGTAGATCTAATACTAATAGATATTATATCCCAGGATGTGATGTCATACTAATAAAACACTGGTCTTTAGTATCGTATCCCTTTGCCATGTAGTGTGAGAACTGATCTTGTCTTTCCCTCGGTTGTCTCTGTCTCTCTCTATAACTTCTTTGTTACGTGGAATGACCGTGGTAGTGTGCTTGTGATGTTATTTTCTTAATTAATTAAGCAAACAATACATACATAATATAAACAAACAATCAACTAAGCTAAGTGTTTAAGCTAAAACCTACTCTTCGGATTAAGGTTGGCCCCTCACAAGTCTCGGACGTGAAGAGAGGATCGATACGATAAAATCTCCATCTTAACTTAACACCGGCACATGGACCAGTCTCCGAGTAGGGCTCCATCTATGGGGAAAAACATTTAGGTGATTGATAATGCGTTTTACGCATTATCGACACAATTTGATAATGTAAGTGTCAAATAATGATGTATAGTCACAAATATAATTACTTAGATTTAGTAAAGGTTTTACGGCACCAAAATAGGTTAGTGTTGTGGTTTGAAGTCTTATAAGCAGGCGCGGTTCGTCCAAAGAGCACGGTCGTGCAGTGCCACGCAAAATGTTTTAATGTTCTATGACGTAAAAAAGCACTCACAATAATAAAATAAAAGACGCCAGAAACAAATACTAGCCAAATATTATATCAAAACAAGGCCCTCGCTGGCGCCGTAAATGTCATTTCTGTTCTTTAGCGCCGTAAAACATATTCTACTATGCCATGCCTAAGTTCATGCACTGCATCTAAACATAACAGGATAGTCAACAGTGGAAACCTGACCTTATAAATCGCTCTTTGGGATAACCCAAGCGATGACGACACTTGTAGAGAGTTTGGCGGTACATTAATATTAATAAGACGGCACATCTCAAATGTGCTCCTGCCGAATAGCGCCGAAACATAGCCCACAGTAGGCAATCTAAAAATAAACGCCATAGACTGTGCACTATTCCATGTCAAAATTATGTGGGCCTCGGAGCAATCCAGCGGAGTGCTCAAGTGAATTGTGTCTGGTTCATAGTCTTGTCGCTATTTTAAGTGACTCTGTGACAGTAAATCTGAGGAAGGTGAACGTGACATACTTAAGTCGCCGTCCTATGAGTTGTGCTTTTGAACGGTTTGGTAGTGGAGTGGTGAAAGGTATTAGTTTTACTTGAGTGTTCAGTTCTGATGCAGGGTGAATGAAATTTACGTTTAGCTAACAAACAGAAGTCAAAGCCACAATAAAAAATAATGAAAATAAAAGCACAAGGTCTTCCTTCACCAACCCATAGATCCTAAAATTATACACCATCCCGTTTACTCTGCCCTTGATTATCTTCAGCCTAAGATAGCTTAATTGTGCACGTCCACTTTTTAGACCCACGAGCCGCCCCTGCTTATAAGAGATCTTTATACAATAATGCAAAGAAAATGAGAAGGGAAGGTTTCGTTGGTTGTTTGGTTGGAGTTTTTTGGGGTGAATGTTTTACGGCGCTTGCAACTGCATATATTATAAGCCCGCGCACATGTTAAACATTTTTCAGTTAGTAGGAAATTTTGAATTTTGCCCAGGTGGCGGCTGAAGCCTACTCTTATGGATTTTAGACCGCCAATGGATCTTTAACGTGCGCAACTTGCACCCCGGACCTCCGAGATTTTTCGCCCTTTTTCCAGAAAGATAGGTCTAGATCTTTCTTACCAGAAGATCAGGGGTGTGGCTGAAGAAAGACAGCAGTAAGAAGGAGCCAAGGAGTAGCACTAGCAGTAGAAAGGCTGCAGAAAAAGTCAGGAGCCCAGAGGAGGGAGCAAAGGAGGTGACGGGTGGGGGCTGAAAGTGGAGACAAAAGTAGACGATAGAAAATTGCTAGAGAGCAGGAAAGGGGGTGAAAGGAGACAATTTTAGACTAGAAAATGTTCCCGTCGCTACCCGGATTCGAACCCGGGACCTTTGAATGAGAGTTGAACACTTTAACCTCTAGGCCACGAGAGCCCCTTGAGAAGGAGAGATAAGGATAATAAATATTTAATAGGAAAGAATGAGCAAACCATACCAGAACAGCAGCCAACCACCCAAAGTGATCTAACTGTATTTAAAAGACAGACAAACATGCAAAAAACAAACATTCCGATTTGGTTTTGTGTTCCGCTCAAGAATCCGGGGTTCGATTCCTATATAATATGTTGACGTATATTTTACAGAGTATCTCAATCTCCCTGCTTCATGTTATACCCCGTACATCCTTGGTTGAGCTAGGCAAGTAGGGAGCAGTAAGAATAATAAGCTTCCTTCAAACGTTCATTTAATATACCACATCCCAACGCTTTTAATCTGGTTTGTTTGCGCTGAATATTGTGGATACGGATACACACACACACGCGTACACACACACACACACACACACACACACACACACACACACACACACACACACACACACATTATAATAATGATAGTACAGGTGTCTTAGAATTTCAACCAAAATTAGGTAAAACGTAAAAGTTCAGCTACAAGTATGAGGGCGTGATCGACACATTCTTGTTTAAAGATAAAGACTGTAAAGACCACGCCATTCACATCAAAAGGATATATTATGTCACCATGCTAAGAAAGTTGTGGAAACGTTAGGAGAGGGGAATGTGTTATGTTGTAGACACCTGGTCCCAGTGGGGTGAGGCCACTTCCCAAATGTCAAAAAAATGTTTTTAAAGAAACCTTTGTGCGGTTACAAGAAAGGGTTGGGGACCACCTAAAAGCGGAAGTTTACAAAGGAATGTCCACTACAGACCCCCCCCCCCCAACCCAACCAAAAAAAATAGAGCCCTTTGAATTGTTACCAATGGGATTTTTGTTGGACAGAGTCTATGGAAACAAGCCACAAACAATCGAACAGTTGAAACTCAATGTTGAACAGGACGTCCAAAGAGTCGACTCAAAAATATGAATGAGTCATTCAAAACTTCCAGTTGTGTACATGTACATGTATTAAAGATTGTATGGAGAGAAATGATCAAAACCTGGAGATTTAAATAGCCATCACTTCCCGGAGTATTCAGTCAAACCTCGTTATACTGCATACCTTGGGACGGGCATGAAGGTTTGGCGGTATAACGGAATAGTACTGATATCCATCTTTACTTTTGCTAGGAGACTAGAACTAGAAACTAATTGTGGTCAGTCTCGACTCACCAAGACCTGCCCGGTGCAGGGTAAAACGAAGAGCATGATGTACAGCTCCAGCTGAACGTTAAGTAAATTCAAATTGAAAAATTCTAACAGATCAAGAACTAGGCTATATTATTATTATTATTATTATTATTATTATTATTATTATTATTATTATTATTATTATTATTATTATTCTGTGCCAAAGACCTTGTAAACGTACATTTTTAAAAAAAACACTGCTCGTCAGTCCTCAGACCGCGTCAGACCTTTCATGTAGTACTAAGAATCCTTACAAGACAAGCCATATGGGCGCTTGCCAGCCTTTTGGTTATTGGGCTCATATTATTTAGCGAAGCCAGATATCTTGCCGACTGACTGAGTTGATGCAGTGCCTTAGTTATATGTTTGTTACAGATTTTTTACATTAAAAACCTTTCTGGCAACCCTGCTGATAAGGGGAGGTTAATCACGAGTTTTCTTCCACGAGAAACGCCAGTCACGAGAAAGTGGGGCTCCAGTGAGGACCAAGCCAACGTCAGTCACGAACAGTTAACCCTATCCGTACGCCATGGGGTCCCCCCGAGGTTGTATTCTTCACATTTTAGAATACTTCTTTGGCGAAGATCTCTTTGAAACTTTCAGTATTTCTCAAAAAAACATTTTGACAGACTGCTCTGCAAAGCGTATGGATCGGATTATCGAGTAAATTTCCTCTTTGAAAAGTGGTGGTTCAGAGTTCCCCACGTCGTATGGATACGATAGTAAAACACGACGTACGGATAGGGTTAAGCACGAGGTAGGGGACGGAGCCTTCGTCAAGTTACAGTATGGAAAATCATCCTACTCTTGTTTCAAACAAATAAAGTTTTGTGCAGTTGAAAAGGTAGTAGTTCGTATTTATATTTCATTAAATTATTCTTCTGAATATATGTATTGCCTGTGCTCCGTAATAATGTTTATCCAGGCGACTTTAACATTTCATTCCAACTTTTTGTTTGTTTTAGTAAGTGTTTTACGGCACTTGCAACTCAATAAAGTCATGTAAGTGCCGAAGATTAGAGGTGTTACAAGAGAGTAACAAACACAAAAAAAGAAGGAGAGGAGATAATGATGATAGATGTTTGAAAGAAAAGAAGAAGCATACCTCACCAGAGCACCTGCAAACCACCCACTTTCAACTTTTACATAAACTTATTTGCCAAAGCCTAAAAATGATGGCATTTTTACAATCAGCGTAAAACTGAGGACAATCGGCAACAAAATAATGCTAGAAACAAGCTGAACTTGCAGTGACGCCTGTGTGAAAGAGAGCCACAAAATGAGTCCACGTTTGAGCAAAAAGCAATGAAAATAACAAGAAAGAAAGAAATAAAGTGGAAATAACCAATACGTCTCTACTGACAAGACTCTTGTTTAAACGTAAATATTAATAAAGGTTTAATACACCTACCCCTTGTCCCATATATTGATGTTTTCCTGTAATCTTAATCTTACCTTAAGAAGTATCTCCTGGCCTCTATCTACCATGTTTGCTGAACATTGGAAAAGGCAGAAAACGGCGGTTAAACAAGAAAGCACAAGACACACATAGATCTAGATCTGTGCACAATATTAATAATAATAATAATAATAATAATAATAATAATAATAATAATAATAATAATAAT